TCAAACCCAGCTCCCCCAGCCATCTCCTGTGCATCGCGTTCTCCAGCCCTCCACTGTGCCGCCCTTCTGCTGGCTATGCTGCCGTTCTTCAACACCCATCTTATACTGAGGAGCCAGTCCTGGGTGTAATCCTCCAGATGGGGCCCTATACCTCTCAAGTGGATGGGAATAATAATTTCCCTTGATCTGCTGACGACACTTTTGCTAATGCAGTCTAGGCTGCAGGGATCTTTCACTGCTGGAAGGGCTCACTGCTGAATCATGTTCAAAATGCTTCTTGAGGCTTTTTGTGGTGATCTAATAAAATCCATTTTGGTTTAATCCTGTTGTGTCATTACTGCCACAGATAAGCTATCACCCCACTGGAGCAAGTTTTGCCTGTGCACATGTGGTGCGCTTTGGCTGTGACCGTTCAAGAGAGATCCCCCTCAGGCACTTCTGATGTGACTGTGATTTTTGCCCTGTGCTGAAGGTCCTCAGGCACAGCCCCTCCGGCTGTCTTGACACATCCACTGGTACTTTTTCCTCCTTCCAAATGATGGGATTTGTATTCGTGGCACATTGGCCAGAAGGTCAGGTAACTAATTGTGCTTACTGCAGTGGCCAAGTGAACTCTGCCTGTGGCTAAAGCTGATCAGTCCCAGGTTACCATGTTCCTGGACCCCACGTGTCCCTGGTTCCAGCACGACCTACTTCTTTCAGTGCAAAAGCATTGGATCATTGCTGCACATGCTTCCAATTCCAAAGTGTATCCCAGGTGTGTGGTTTCTGCTTTGTGCACTATAATGCTATGATTCAGGCAACCAAACATGTGCAGCACAACTCTCTGTTACCGTGTATTTCTCAAACCTTAAACAACACTAAGCAGAGAAGTTACTAAGCAAGATGCAATCTATTTCCATGCAGCGGAAAAAAAAAGGCAGGAATGACGTGCTGAAATGCTGTGTGCTGTGTGCTGCCAGGGGATTTAATCAGCCAATTGCCAAAAAGATGTCAGTTCCCTGAAAGAGTGAGGACAACACGCCTTGCTAAGAAATGTACTCACAAGATTAAAATACCAGCTTCAGGATAAACCTAATATTGTCTCACGAGCAGATGAAAATTTGGGCAAGAATGAACAGCCTCCATCCTTAAAACGTGTGTCACTACATCATCACACCTTCCAAGCTCATCTATCCCTGCCTACTGGTCAGGTACTCCCAGCAAATTCAGATGCAATTTACTGAACACATCAGGCCAGGTCTCCCAGCCCTAGGAGCCAGCCAAGCAGGATCCCACAACACAAAGTGCCACTTCTATCTTTGGAATGGCCACCGTGAACAGTGCAGTTTGCACACAGCAAACAAAAGGTGCTCGAGCACTGAGAATACAACTGCACCATGAGTGGATGGTGTGTAATCGTTAGTGAAGGTCCAGGGGTGGATGCCCTGTGTTAGGGTGGTGGGCAAGGAGAGAAAGGAAGAAATCAGATGAACAGAAAAAGAAGGGAAAAGCTGAGGTGGGAACGTGACAGTCAGATGTGACTGTGGAGGAGGCATCAAGGATGGGAGGTGGAACAGGCAGCCAGCGTGGAAGTGTGTGTTTGCCACCCTCCTGGGTCAGAGGTGCACAGAAGAGCTTGTTACAAAGGCTGCGAGAGGAACTGGTGCCATAACTTGGGGCTCAGCTGAGCTTCTCAGGAGCTCGCGCCCTCAGTAGGAAGCAGGCACCCAGTGGTGCTATTTGCATGCTCCAGCTCCCAAGAGGGAGGCCCCACTAACCTCCACATACCAGCCATCCCCTCCAGGGCTCAGTTACTTCCTGTAGTTGCTTTATGCTGCTGCTGGCTTATTTTCTTGGCACATAAGTGTAAACTTCTCTCAGACAGCCCTTTCTCAGCTCCCAGCCTGGGCTGGCAGCATCTCTGGGTGAACCCCATGGCTTGCACAGCTCCCAGCCCTGTGATGGCACGCTCTGAGCAAGTTGTATAGCTGGAGATTGTACCAAAGCTGACTATATCTAAAGAAATAAGCCAGTCTGGAAGCAGCCACTGGGTATGGGGGTCTCCACTGCATGCATCATGCTACTTGCCTGGCAACGCTTGCCCCTGTGCACAAGCATAGGGTAAGGAGGGCACCTCTTCACCCCCCTACTGGCCACACTGTTCCTCATGCCCTCAACAGCAGTGATTATAGCCGCTGCAGTCCTCTGTTAAGCACAGCTGGTAAATGTTATGAAATGTCAGAAGCCCTGAATATATACACATGGGACACAGGCACACCTCACTGGGAGAAACCAGTGGTGGCAGCCAGGATGCTCTTCCATGGTGTGCAGGAGGAGGCAGGGCAGGCAGGAGGAGGCAAAAGAAAGCTGAGAAAGAAGGTGAAGAGATCAGATGGACTCTCCAGAGACAGACACACACACGTTTTCTCTGATTTTGCCTCCTCCTAAGGAGATAAGTCAAGTGTCTCTGACAGATGTTAGTCATGCTGCCTCACGTGCTCCTGGAGGGTACTTGGCAGTGTGGGCCGGAAGGGGGAGCACAAAACTCTAGGTGCAGTAAGAAACAATCAAGCACTTAGACCTCAGCTGGCATCACCGCTTTTTCTTGTCCAGCACAGGGCACCTTGACAAGCTGTCCTGCTTACTAAGCCCAGGCCAGCCCTGTTCTTGGAATAGACTTTCATTTCTTTCTAGGGAGCACACAGAGAGGAAGGAGTGTTGAGAGGCTACAGGGGCAAAAAAGAGGCAAAAGAGACATCAGTGCCAGGCCAGAGCTCCTCTTCCAAGGCATAAGACTGAATGCATTTGCTGCGTTGCAGAACGAGGAGGGAAATGTCACCTTCAGAGGTGATCTGACAATCACAAATATAAATTACACAGAGAAAAAAAAAAACACACCACAAACACAGAGCATTTGTGCATATTCATGAGCAAGTCAAAACCCCCAAATTAACAAGGAAATTAATTTCCAAACTGATTAGGCTGCCAACTCCTTTTATTTAAATAAATCAACAATTGCCTTCATGTGACTCCTGCTGAAGAGCGCAGAGCTAATCCTGGCTCCTCCCAGGAGGAAGTTTGTGCCGCCCGGGATGACCAATACCCCAGCACCTTGTGGGGACAGGCGGGTGCTGCGGCTCTCAGCAGCCACATTTCCCTTTGCCCACTGCTTCGGATGTTGCGGTTTCACGATCACCAGAGCCGATCTAACCGCTGGCTGCTCCAGTCGTGCTCTCTCTGGTCCCACCCTCTTACTCATGCTGGCTCAGAGAAGCTGTTCCAGCTTGCCAAGTTGGCAGAAAACTCATGCAACGATTAAAAAAGGAGATTTCTCTTAAGTCAGAGCAATGAAACAGCTCAGCCAAATGCCCAGGGAGCAACACCACAGGTGAGGAAGGTAATCTAACCTGACCTAGGAGGTGGGTCCAGTGCCAAAGATAGCCCTGCTACAAATCATGGAATGAAGTAGATGGTATCTAAAAAATCTCTTTACACTTAAAGAGTCCAAGAGAGACAGAGCCAGCCTGGCTTGGGTATTTTGTAGGGTGCCTCCAATTTCGCATGGCTCGGTGATCCTGCAGAGCACCTGTCTTCTCCAGGAACAGCCTCATACCTTTTCCTGCCCCACAGCCAAGGCTCAGGGTCTGCCTGCTGCTTCAGGCACAGCAACTCTCGCTGCACAGCAACACGCCTGGTAGTGCCAGTGCACGGGAGACAGCAGGAAACTGCCAGCCAAAACTGAGGTGGGTTGAATCTGTGAAACTGAATTCTCAATGAGTGAGAACAAGGGTGAGTCGCAGCCCCCTCTGGGGTCGAGTTCTGAACGGTTACAAATGGAAGAATTAAAAATGAATTAGTATTGGGATGTATTAGTATTGAGCCACCGGCTTGCAGCTGTGGAAAGGTTACCCAGCTCCCCTCCGTGCCTGGCGCTGCTCTCCTGTTCCCTTCTGTGACTGAGCAGGTCCAGTTTGCCGCCCTGGCAGAGAATCAGCTCGCTCAAGTCCTTTCTGTTGGGTAAGCACGACAAACACGTTTAGCATTTGGCCAGGGAAGCTCCAGAGCCAGCAGGCACCAACGGGCAGGCGGGCCGGGCCCGCCCCAGGTGCTGGCAGCCAGCCTTGGGGTCAGCTCATCTGCAACAACCGAGTCGCCCTATCCCGCCGGGCCGGACCCGGAGCCTCCCTCTTGCGCTGCGCCGCCAGCGGGCCCGGCCGCTGCCACACCGGCACACCAGGCCGGCGGCCGCCACACAACTCTCGGCCGCGGGACCGGAGGAGCGAACTGAAGAGCCGCTGCCGCGGGCACGACCTCCCGCTTGCCCCAGCCCCCAGCCAGAGCGACATCCACCTGCAGGTAGGCGAGAGCGGCGGGCCGCGACTAGGAAGCGGCGGTAGGAAATTAATTATTCATGAGCAGTCATTAATATTAATGACCGCGGCCTTCCCGCGCGCTTCCGGTATCCGGAAGCGGAAACGGAGGAGGGCTGTCTGTCTGTCTGTCTATCTGTCTGCTCGCTCGCCCGCCCGCTCGTCCCGGCGGCGGGTCCGGAGCGCTCCCGGGGGAGCCGCCCCCCGGGCTGGCCCCGCCCCGAGCCGCGGTGGGTGACCGGGCGCTGCGCCCTGTCCTCGGCCGCCGCCGCCGTGTGTGCGCGGGGCCCCGCCGGGGGAGGTGGGTCTGGGCCCCCCCCTCTCTTATCCTGGCCGGTCCCCGTGGGGAGCGCCTTCCTCCGCCCATGGCCGCTCCTCTGGGGAGCGGAGGCGGCCGGCGGGTCTGGGGGCTCGGCGTTGCATCGCCCGCTGTCATGCAGGGTCCCGGGCGGCCCCGTAACCCTGGCGGTTTGTTTGCAGAGACGGCCCTGGAAGGAGGAGAAATGCAAGAGGAGGGAGAGTGAGAGGGGTAAGAAACTGACACCCGCCTCAGGGGCTCCGTCTGGCCGCGCTGCGGGGGGTGGGTTGGGGAGGCATGGGACACACGTCCAGCCTTGGGAGCCTGAAGTGGCTTGTGCTGCAGGGTGCTGGAGGGGTGAGGAGCTGAGGTGCAGGGAATATCACCTGCCAGTCCCCTGTCCTGGCAGACAGAGGCTTGCTCTGTTGGGGTGAAGGCTATGCATGTGTCAGGGAACGGCACCAAAGTTGTTCTAGCTTGGGTGTGCGGGTTCGGGGCTCAGAGCTTGTTTGGCATGTTTGGGGTACTCCTGATGTGCATCCAGATGTACTTGTTCTAAAGATGTAGCGGTGCTTGAACTTTCTGGTGCTTATGAGCTTTGTGGAAGCATTTTTGCGTTTGATCTAGCAGCCTGTGTGGCCTTCAGCATCCTAAGTATATTGCAGTGATTAAGCCTGAAAGCTCCTTGTCATTGAGCAAAGATCTTGGGCAGACACAAAATAACACTGTAAATCATTCCCGAGTGGCATACTCGGGGCGTTTTGTCAGCTGAAAACTCCATATGCAATAAAAAATACAAGCTAGGTATCTGGAGAATAATAAGAAAAAAAAAAACATTAAAAATCAATCTCTAAAAAACTGTATGTACAACCTTGGTTGTGCCTTCCAGAAACACAACCTCTACCTCACTGTATACTTGCACGTGCTTTTATCTCTCTGTTTATGATTAAAGTGATGACCTGCAAAGAAGTATAAGTCCAGCACATTAAGTATGTGATTCTGTGAAGTACTCTGAGATCTAACCTCCAGATTCCTTGTCCCTTGTGAGTTCTCTGGTTCACTCTGGTTGTTTATTTGGTGTATGTACATTTGTGGTCTGTACATAGAAAGTGTTTTTGGTTTATATCAGGAGGGTACGTTGACATCTGTCTGATACTAGACTGGTGAATAGGAAGAAGGTCCCATCTCTGGCCTGTTTGTGGAAGCTGGGATGATGAAGGCCCTGCAGTGGGAACGTGCGGTGTTACAGGGTTGAAGCTCCAGCCCATGTCTGGTAGTTATAGAGCAATTGGAAGGGTTACGTGCAGAGTTCTGGTAAAGTAAGTGTGAGCAGCGTGAAAGTGGGGGCTGCAAATAGGGGTGCATGTTCTCAAAACATCCTTTAGCCTTAAAGGCGGGGTAGGGGAGGGATGGCTGTGGGTATCGGGGCAGCCGTTTGGTGAAGGAATCTTACCTTTGCTCTCTCCCTTTGGAAGACTGGCTTTCTAGTGAGATTGCATGAAAGCTTCAACCTTTACACCATTTCTCCTTTTCCTCCACATTCTTATAACTTCACCACACTTCAGCCCTTCACACCAAAAGTTTTGAGGCCTGATATCTGCTCTAGCAGGAAGATTTTTAGATGGGGAAGTGGATCCTTAGAGACTTTAAGGAAAACAACGTAGTCATCTTCTGAGAATCAATAAGAGCCTTATTTTTGCTTGCATACTTCGTAAACTGGGCAAACAAAAGTTAGGTGTTTTGTGAAGTTCTGGTAGAGGACTAATGAACGCAGGCAGGCACTGAGTGCCCTGGCGTATGCTAATATAGATTTTAGAACCTGGAAATGGAGTTGCCTTTCATTCCTTGTACTCTTTAAGTAAGAAAGCTGTTGTGAGATTTGTGTTTGAATTGGCATCTTTGTTTCATGCCTGAAGTTTGCAATTGAATCCAAGGGAGTCTTGGAGAAGTTTATTTGGAAAATGCATCTGATTATTATATGAGAATTTATGTTTTTACAGAATCAGGTTTGCTTTGATGTTTTTGACATGGGAGTAAAGGAAGTAAGGGCTTGTTTATTTCAATAACAAAAAACCCCAAACAAACAAAACCCGTAAAACCCCCAAACCCAAACTTGACATTCCAAACAAACCCCCCTTCTTGATTCAGGAGGTGCTCGATTACCAAGAATGTGTTATCTCTTCACGTGTGCCCATCCTGTGGAAGAAAAAAAGTCATGTAATTAAGCATTACATACACAGGGCCTTGCTGTGGGCAGTGTACTTAATAATTAATTTGGCTCAGAAAAGAAAGCAGAGGAAGGAAGGTAAGAGTCTTGCCCCATCAAGTTCTGATTGAATCACAGCAGTGTAAATCCAGAGTAATTCAGGCAGGCAGCTAGCAGTCTGACTTCATGCCACCGATGCAAGGTAAATAATTCATCCTCAAGTGTGTTTATGGGTTGATTTGGAGTGAGTGAGTGAGGCAGGAATACTTGGCTTTGCTGTTGCATGAGCAATTCATAAAAACAAAATTATCAGGTAATTTGGTTCATTTAAATACTGCTTCACATAGAGGAAAATTACCTTTGCATTTTGGCTCACCCACAGCAATTCCACATGTATTTATTCTGCCCTAATAGACTTCTGGAAAGTAAATGTTTCATGCTACTCAGGGCATGCTCCTCAGCTTATCTGATGATTGAAATGGGCCCTTCAGAAACAATATTTACTCATTAATTAGACTACTGCCACATCAGAGCAGGAATAGAAGTGGGACAATTTGCAGGTAGCTGCATGAGAAACCTACAGTGGTTGCTTTCTCTAAGCAGCTTGCTCTGCCAGATGTTCTCTGAGCATAGTTTTTAATCATGCATATTGTACCTACCAGTTTTGCCATGCTTGCTCAGGAATAGGTGTGTCTTCTGCTTCAGGAAATATTCCTCTTTCTTTCATTTCTTTAGGTTTTGAATAGCGTTCTCATGAGTGCAACAAACTTTTCTGCTAATACTATTACAGAGAGGAATGTAAGGATTAGGGATTAAAGGGCTTCTTCAGCCAGGTGCTCCTAAAGAGATTATGCCTCTGTATTCAGAGGGCTAACTTTTGGTGTCTAACTGGTCCTCTGGCTGCATAAAGAGTTGAGATGAAGCAGTGAGCACTTGACTGAGGACAGAATCCTACAGAATCCTGTCCTAAAGAAGGGAATGGAAATGGGCAATAGAGAGCTGTGATGTGAAGATACCCTCTTCTCACTTGGGAAGAGGGTATCTTAGGAGCAGTGTAATCAGGTTATTTTCCCACTGCCTCGTCTCATCCAGTTGGATTATAGTGGAGGGTCTTGCCTGTCAGGGATATTAAGTGACATTTCTGGGCTTCTTTTGAGAGTGGGGCTGGGGTGGGCAACACGGTGGGCAGCTGGAAGTTAGGAGCCCTGAGTTTGACTTCTTGTTCTGCTGTGGCTGTTTGTTATCTTGGGCAAGTCTGTTTCCCTCTCTCTGCCTGTCTTTCTTCCTGTATAACATAATGCTAATGTCCCCTTGCTGCATCTGGGCCCTTAGTGTTGAGCTGGGGTGGAAGGACAGGCAAAGTCCAAACTTTTCACTGCCTGTGGGCTCGGGCTGTCTGTGACAGTGAAAAATGGTTTTCAGCTGTATTTGCCTGGTTGCAGATGCACAGACTTCATCATTGATGCCATGTACTTGGGTGGATGATAACTGGGGAAGTCTGGAGGTGTTCTGGGTTTGTAGTCAGTCCCTTTTTTTGCATGGAGGACTATTGGGCAAGAGGTGTTTGAGGTGGACCCAAGCCTGTGGGAATAGCAGACATCATTTTCCCTTGAAAATTATTTTTGGATTTGGGCAGGTAGCTCAGAAGCGGGGAGAAGTTGCTCAAGACAGGGGAGATTAAGGAACTGTCACAGCATTAGACTGAGTCAGTTCCATATTGGAGTCTCTTTGGGTTTAATGTTCTTTTTGTGTGTCTGTGTGTCTGTCCGTCCGTCTTCCTTCTCCTCCATTCCTCTTCCCTTCCCCCTTCCTCTTCCCCTCTGTGCCCAGCTAGGATGGAAGAATCTCATTTCAACTCCTCCCCGTACTTCTGGCCAGCAGTGCCCACCGTCTCGGGACAGGTAAGATCTTTGTCTTCCAGCCTCTCTTGCTGGTCTTGCTTCCTGTTAGAAGTTCTTGCATGCTATGCATTTCTGTTGCATTTCTTGCTCAGCCAGGGTATGCTGAAAGCTGTCCTTCCCACTTGTTTAGATTGAGAACACCATGTTTATTAACAAGATGAAGGAGCAGCTATTGCCCACAGAGAAGGGCTGCAGCCTGGCTCCCCCCCACTACCCTGCCTTGCTGACAGTACCCACCTCTGTGGCCCTGCCCACTGGTATCTCCATGGACTCAGACACCAAGCCGGAGCAACTGACGCCACACAGCCAAGCCCCTGTGACTCAGAACATCACCGTGGTACCAGTGCAGTCTGCTGGGCTCATGACAGCAGGTAGGGGACTCCAAGGACTCTGGCAGCATACAAAGGAGACTCTGGGATGGGGGGACAGGGTCGTGGAGAATCCTTTTTGGACTGTAGATTATTCCTAGCCTTACTGATGGTGTAGACTGCCTTGGCATGGTTTCATCATGATTCATGGTGAATCTCTAGGCACTCAGCCGCCTTCTTTATGGAAGTTTGACTTCCAGCATTGGAGACTGGGAATGTGTTGGGGAGGGTAAGCTACTCTTCCGTTTGCATTATAGTCAAAAGTAAGTGTATAAAGCTTGCTTCTGAGGGATAATGAGGTTGGACATAAATAGAGATGTAATAACTGACTTCCTCCATCTTCTTTTGTTGCAGGTCCTGGTCTGGTGATAACTTCCCCATCAGGTTCCCTAGTGACCACAGCCGCCTCTGCCCAAACCTTTCCCATCTCAGCTCCCATGATTGTCTCTGCGCTACCCCCTGGCTCCCAGGCAGCCCTCCAGGTGGTTCCTGACCTGTCCAAGAAAGGGACAACCACCCTCTCTGAAGGTGGTGGGGGTGGCGGGGGTGGGGGAGTTGCCCCCAAACCGCCTCGGGGCCGGAAGAAGAAACGATTGCAGGAGTCAGGGCTGCCAGAGATGAGCGACCCCTTTGTGCTGTCAAACGAGGATGATGAGGACCAGCACAAGGATGGCAAGACATACAGGTGGGAGCGGGTTTAAACCTTGACAGTAGCATTGCATGGGGATGGGGGTGCATTTTACCCTTCAGAAGGTTACATGGGGAAGAAGAGAGAGCTGCCTTTTCCCCATAGTGTCCCTGAGTAGAGAATCTTTCAGCTGTAGAAAGAGTTGAGGTTTTTCTCTCTAATCAGGAGTGTTTGCAAGTTGGTGGGTTGACCCAAAACTAAAGATCTCCTTAGTGGACAGCCTTGATTTTCTGACTATCCAGATGTTAACGTTACCAGGCTAGTTAATGACCAGGATGTTATGGAGGTTAAACCATATCCTTGAGGCCACAGCCAGGTAGTATGGCTGGTGTACTGCAGAATGCAGTACTGACTTGTGCAGCTGAGACCCCTAGCATCCCTGGGTGATCCTGAATGAGGACTCCAGTCTCTCCAGTGTAAAGACTGCAAACTGGAGGCACACAGAGCAGGAAGTGAACTGTGATGCTTCTGTGTGCATTGTGATCTCCTATTTCAGCATTTCCAACAGAAGAGGGGGAAAAAAGAAAGTGTATTTCTGAATTTGGTATAAGAGTGTTTGTGAGCCCTGAGGTATCAGGTAACAGGGGGGAGAGTTCTGAGCCCTGAGGTTGGGTTTCTGAGCTTGGAGGGATGTGGCTTTTGTTTACAGGTGAGTAGTGGAAGAGGGAGAGATTAACCAAGAGGGAATACTTAAACCAGAGCATGTGGAGTGTAGGTGTTTTAGGGAAGATGGGAGCCGGATGGAGCAGGCAAGTGCTAGGGATGGAATGCAATGGTATGTCTTAGTTGGGAAGCAGGAGCATGAATGGGTGATTTAGTAATGGGTGTTTAGTGTTTAGTGGGGGATGATTAAGATCAGGAAGAGGCAAAGTAGTAGCCGTTCTGTAGATGGAAACAGAAATAGAAGATGGTCTCTAGCTCTTCTCACTTCTCTGCTATGTGCCCATGATCCCGTTTCAGTTTCCCTTTTACCATCCTAGACCCTCTTTTTTTCATACAGATTTAGTTAAGTTTCTGGAATTAAATCATAACAATAGGAAGGCCCAGGACCAGTACATCCACCCCAGGCACTGCTTCATTTTTAACTATAGCATTTTTTTCAATGTTTACATTTTCAAATCAATAAGTTAAATGAGTACAAACCCAGAGCTTGTCTCACCCTTTTTATTCTCTTAGCCAATGTCCCAGTTCTTCCACTTTGAAAATATAATCAGCGTATGGTGAGGAGGGGTGGGAGTGTTAGGTAGCTTGCTATTTGTAATCCCACCATTTATTTTGGGCTTTAGCCACAATTCCACACTACTCAAGCTGCTTACAGTCTGGGTTGCTAATTAGGTTGTTAAATATGTATTTACAGGGGACACAATTGGCAGTGAACACTAGAATTAAAGCTGAACCAAAGCTTTAATTATAGCTCCTTGTTTACGTGTAAGTTTGGGGGGAGAAAAATGCCCAAGGCCAGGTGGAGTGACTCAGCAAAAACTTTATGAACATGCTTCATCTGTGTAACAGCTCATGAAAAAGGGAAAAACCGAATAAGTTTATATGTAGGAACATGTAATCAGGAAGATTTCCTGTGTTCCTGTTTAGTCTGAGTGGGGTACCTCTGCCTCTTTCTCCAGCTACCATCCTCAGCAAGTCTTTGAGCAGTGCTGAGGTGCAAGATAGCTAAACTGAGATTTATAGAAGACCACTTTTGCCCTCCTTGGGATCTCTTATTTAGCTGATGCTTTCTATGTGCAAGTTTGGAACTAAAAATGAGTGTTGAAAAAATAAAAGAAGATGCTATCTCCTCTTGGAGTTGTGGCAGAGAAAACCTTTGTGAAATACAGGAGAATTGTATCTCCATAATAGGTGTATGAATAGACTTGCAAGTTAAAACTTTGAGGACTCCTGGGTTTCTGCTATATTCTAGAGGATGATTTGGGCAGTTCCCGTTACTACAGTGCGCAGGCATATCCGAGCTAAATTAAGACTGGGTGAGGTTTATCTACTCCTGCTTCCTTCTCGGGCTGGAGGAGGAGTTGCTTGTGGTATTTATACATCTGCATTTGTATGATTTCACTGATTCTTATGATGATGCACTGAGGACAAGCTAGTCAGATGCCTGAAGGAGTTGTACTACATCGAGCAATATGAGTTGGGGGTTTTTTTAATACCCAATTGCTAAAGCCAAGATTATTTTGTCAAATTTAAGTATTTGTTGCTTGTAAATTTCTTTTTGAGCTCTGTGAACTCTCCTGTCCTGAGTGCCTGAGCAAGTGCTTGGTTGCCGTAATTCCTGACTCCTGGTGTGTTGGTGAAGACAGAGCAAGGTCTTGAATGGGCAGCACAGCAAGGCAAATTTGGAAGGAATTGGAGCACAGAGGTGATACATGTATTGTAGCCCATCCTATTCTCTACTGAATGTAGAGATTCCTGCTCCTGTGAATGGCAGCTGTTTTGCCGCTGTATTATCTCTAGAAGTGAATCAGTCTGCTTTGAAAGTGGTGCAAGAATCTTTGTGACCAGGTTTCTTGTAAGAAAAGGTGCAAAGATTTTGCCTTACCAGTGGTGGTGTCACTTGCAGATCATGGGCATCTAGCCTTAGGATTAGTCTAGCAGAGTCCTCAGTGCTTTGCTTTATGCTATTAAAAGAATGCTGTGCACCTCCAGGGGACAGCATCTAATCCAATCCTGCGAAGCGTTTTCCTTCATAAATAATGGCACTTTATCTGTGTTCTGGATTCATTGTCAGCTCTTTGTTAATCTTCCCTGACATCTTTGTAGAATTCACTTTTTCTGTGGAAAATGAGATCAGCATTAAGAGCCTTTCTGGTAAGATGCTGGCAGTGTGAAGCACATGGTTTCTCCTCAGTACTTTAAAAGATGCTGAGGAAGAGAGAGTGAGTGTAGGTCCTGGAGAGAGTGGTATTGTTCTTGGTACTGTTGTGGTGCCTGTTCCTATGCACTTTTAGAAGTTTGTGGTGTGGTGTGAACAGTGGACTTCAACGCTGATGAAGTGGTTCAGCCTTTTTGGTCCAGATCACCAGTTCTCTCTCTCTGACAAGTGGTTCTCTAAGTAGTTTATTCTTTGCAAGAGGAAGAGAGCTGTCTTTGTGCATTGCTTGGTTCCAGTATTAAGGTTGTAAAGACTAGGATGAATACCAGTTTATAGTCTGGAATAGTTTTGTGAACTGTGCTTTAGAGCCTAGGATACCAGCAGAAAGGTTGTAGGCTTGAGAAGGGCTTTGCCATCTCAGTATAACCAACAAGCTGTGTTCCCCACCCCTGGTTCTGCATTTCCCTACTTTCACTAGGTTGTGGGAACAGCAGGGGCTGCGGGAGACAGTAAGCAGCCGAGGAATATAGGAAGCTTCTGACATGAGAATAGGGTACAAAAGTGTACAGAAGTCCTAGCAAGAAGCAGAGCTGAGCTGTAAAAGGTGAAGAAGCTGGATGGAGGCCTGCTTTATGAGGAAATTAGGCACACAAGGGGAGCGGGTGGTTTTAATACAGCGGGTGGGCATGTTCTCATACGTATCTCATTTGAAGCCTGTTTTTTCTGCCCTGTACAGGATTTAGCATTGCTGTTTGCTGAACTTCCCATAGTTACGAATAGATTTGAAATCTGGTGCTATGGCTTTTGTAAGCCACATGTATCTGTGAAATGTGGTCGAATTTGGCCAAGTTGTAAGCTTGGAAAGTATCTGTTAAGTGTGTTCTTCGATGCCTTATGGCTTGGCAGTTGAAATATGCAAAGATTATATCCTCCTTGACATTTCTTGAGGCTTGTATAACTCCAGGCACTGACCAAACTATCTATCTCTACAGAAGAGATAAATACACTAAACTTTCTCAGCTTCTCTTTGAGGCTGAACTACACGTATACTTTCTCTGCAGCAATAAGCATCATCTAGACTATTGCTGAAGGGCCAAGCATGTCTTTCCTTCAGTCACAAGTGCTCCTCCTTCTGCTTCAGAACGGAGTCTTTTGTGCCCAGTGTCAACAGTAACCTCCCCCACCAATGGGCACAAAGGGAAGGTGGGAGAAGACACTGATGGGTTCAAATGTGGTAGGGATGAGACTGAGATAACCCTGGAGCTGATTGAGTCCAGAAGTCTGGAAACTGAGTAGAGCAGAGATGGGAATTGGAAGGGAGGAGGGAGAAAAGATAAGAGCCTACAAAGTAGGGAGTGGAGCAGCGGATGTGATGGGGAGCCTATTTGCAAGGGAGGGATGACACAAAGATAAGCTAGACAGGGCCAAGAGTTATTGGAGAGAGAACCAGATCTGCTAGGGGCTGAAAAGCGAGGAGATACCTAGAATTAGCAAAACAGATGGGGGCAAGAGTTTGGGATATGGACAGACAAATAGAAGTGTGGGGCAGAGGAGGCATGTTAGGTAATTAAGGGAATGAAATAAGCAAGAGCTACTGCAATAGAGGATGAAGAGAGTGGCGCATGTGGGTAAAGAGTTTGGTCCTGGGTGTCAATGCAGGAGGGAGAAGGGATTGCAACAGGCTAGAAGTCTAAGGGCAAAGGGGGAGTTGAGTTTGAAGTATCGAGCAGAAAGTTTGACCACATTCCCTCCAAAGCCTAGAAATATTAAACCCAAATTTTGCCATGTCTCTGATGTTAGCACAAGAATGTGACCTCCTCTGGCAAAGAACTTCATCCCCCTCTTAAGGCTAGCAAAAGGTGATAAACTCCCGTTGCTATTATTTATCATCCTAGCTGCAGTGGCAGAGGTCTGTGCAGTGGATCTTAAGATTGCTGATGACCAACGTGGGTGTCAGTACGATGCCACATGTTGGAATTTCTGTTTGCTTTTTTTAACAAGTAGTTCCGTGAGCAGCGGAACTAATGAAGCCTGGTTTCCAGCGGCTCTCTCCTGTGTGGATTCTCTGATGTCTAATCAAGGGTGAGCTTACTAGCCTTTCCCTCAGCAGGGGGCTCCAAAAGGGTCTCTCTTCTTTCCTCAGCTGTATGTTTTTATGGGACTTGTGGTGACTCTACCCCTTTCCCAGATTTGGTTGAAATTGGCTTTAAGGAGCACAGGTGCACGTGCACATCCATATACACACATGCAATTTGTACACATATGGTTTGCTTTGTATGTGAATGCTGTGCTTGGAGGTTAGAAAGTGTCAGAATTAAGACTGACCACATGCCTCAGAGTACAGTGAGGTAAAAGCTTGTGTTACGGTAAGTTCTCTCCCTTCTGCTGGGATATTGTAGCTGTGTGTGTGCATGCACTCTCAGGTTCATCATGGTGCCAGGCAGAAGGAATTAGCAGCAAAGGTTCTGCAGTCATGAGTTTTAATTTTAGCACATGTCAATGGAATGAGTGTGTGCAGTGGAATGAGGGAGACCCTTACAGTTTCAGCCGGGAGGGAGAACTTCAAAACTCTTGTCACACATCTGATCACACCTTCATTTGGCCCTATTGAGTCGAGGTACTTGATACCATCCTTGATGGTGTGATCATAGTTGGTGTGCACATGAAGGCCTGTCAGTCCTGCATATTTACTCAGAGAACCTGAAATGAGTGGTTTATTAAAACCCACAACCATTACCATGGGGTTGCAGAATTGAGGAGGATGATTTTGGGGAGGGCATTTACTGGACTGCTAGTCTGAAGAACTGTAGATTCCGCTTGCCTCTGCTGCAGATGTGCTGTTGTATCCTACAGCCACGTGGTTCAGGCCTGCATATAATCTTGCCTTGAAGCGTGTGCAAATATGAGTTAGGTCTAGTCTTCAGTGGATTTGCATTTGCCACAGGCTAAAAATGACCACAGGTATCCTGAAATAATTAACATTTGGTGTTCCTGAAACTCTAATCTCTCCTCAAATATTGTTGAACAGTCCTCTGTTACATCAGACCCTGTTTTGCTTCGCAGAAGCATTGCATCTCATAGCTGTAGCATAGAAATCTATAGGAGCTGTGATTTGAATATATGTAATATGAATTTTATTTTAAAGGAAAGGAAGTGGTCAGAGGTATCAGTTTGGCCACTTGGAATTAGTGGGTATGTCTGTATTTCATTCCTGCCTTTCATCAATCCCAGGGACATTGTGGGGGTAGATGAGTGCTTACGGAGCACTGATACTTCTGTGGTGGGTACAACAGATAAGTGATTCTGCTTCATGAGGTTGGAATTGCATGTGGTCGACGAGGCTTGAGGCTGTACACAGTGGAGATTAAGGAACCTGAATGCTTGCTTGTTAAATATCTGTGCAACACAGTAAGGATGCAGTTCTGTGGAAACAGTCAATAAGGCTGTATTATAATGCATCTGCATTGCGGAGCCGAATTATGGTGCCATAGGTGACCTTAATTCTGGCATTTCCAAATTTGCTAGTGCTTTCTTATGGGCTTTTTGTATTCTTTTAGGTTGAGCTTTTGCATGTTATCACTCTTCTAGGAAACACCTTATTATGTTTTATTGTTTCATTGGTCTTTTATGCTAATGGTGACCGATTTCTAAAATTGGTAGACAAGGGTTTAGGCTTGATGTTGTTCAGTGATTTGGAGGTCAACAGAAAATCACGGCTGATAATTTACAGATGGAAGCAACACTGGTGGATAGCTGTAAAAAAAAGTGGAAGCTTTATGTGGTTGCTAAACTGGAACTATTCAAGCAAAATGTATTTTAATACAGCCCAATGGAAGACTCAGCCTTTTGGATAATACTTTGTGACTTCTCCAGCAGTCAGGGATGGAGGCCTAGGTGTTAGGACACAGTGCAGTGTCAGACAGAAGTGGCCTGTTGGATGCAATTGAATGTCTTTGATATAAAGATAAGGAATGTGGGGAAACAGTATCCTGGAAAGCAATGACTGTGAAAGACTTTAGGAATGTGGTGACATCGTGTGAGCTCCCAGAGCAAGACTGTGACAGAAGAGGGTAAATGCATCTGTTAAAAGCATAGATGGAGTCATTAAAATAAGACAGGCAACTTGTGAGGCATGCTGAAATACCGTAGCATTCTGGGTCTGGTATTTTTAAGATAATTTGAACAAATGGACAAAATGCAGGAATGCCCTGAAATCTGAGAACTGGAAAAGTGCTGTATGGTGAGAGCATTTAAAAACACTTGATGCCTTGCCAGGAAAGTATGCTTTTCTGTAGCCTTAGCCAGCCACCAAGCAACTGAAGGACTGTGGAAGCAAGTTGACTAAGATCTGTGAGGATAACTGATAGATTTGACAGTATACATGCCATTAGTGTAAAATGGTAAAAGGAAGCATGTATTAACTTCTGAATAGGAGTTGATGCTGGATGGAGAAGTGTGGAAGCAGATTCATGTGCTTACATTTGGCATATTCATGCTCACTGGCTTTAGTTAGGTCTTACCCAGTTTTTCTAGCTGTGTGTAGTTCTGTCTCCTTTACCCCTGCCTCTTTGAAAATACTAGCAAGAAAAGGTCTAACTTAAGCTTTAAGCAAAATAAATCAGGGAATGTGAGGGTTAAAATAGCATTTGTCATGAACTGTGTGCATCCATTAGTATGCTCTGCTTGCATCAGTTGCTTCATTAACTCTGCATTGCAAAGGTAGTACGTTTCTTCCCTTGCTAAATGAACTGCTGACTTCTACAGCCTAAACTTACTCTTATCATCTAGTTTAAATTCAGACCTTCCTGATTTGTTTCTTTTTTTCTTCTTTAACTTGTGAGTTAAAAAAAATACAAATACAAACTTGTATTTATAGACTAAGAGAAGGAGCAGGGCCTCAATTAACTTCTAAGACTAATCTCAGTAGATACTAGGAATTTAAATTCTCAAAGCCATGTAAAAGCCTATATAGTTTTCACAACTGTGATACTGATTCATTAAGCACTTGATTGAAGAATGCTGTTAATCCACTTTGGGCAAATTTTACTATGAGTTGGTGTTTCAGATGATATTTTATCTCATAACAGCATCTGATGAATGAAGCCGAACATTCCATGAAAAGTGGAAAAAAATATGGCACTGTGGGCCACAGAATTGTAGTCTAGTAGCTATAAGCATCATTTTGTTTATGAGTCATCATGATGACTTTCATATGGGAGCAGAATTAGAATTGTACATCCACCTTTTACTGGCATTTAATGATTTTTTGAGGGTGTTTCTGTCTAACATGAACATTCCCTGAATATCTCACTTTATTTCCCTGCAGATTCCGTATAAAAAGGAAGGATTATCAACATTGGAAGGGGTTACTTTTGATCTCTGGCATATGGCTGGGTACTAAATTAACTATTTATATGAACCTCTGTGTTATTAAGACTATGTTCTCCTAGGCTGTCTGAATTTGCAGAGCCATAACTAGCAGGTGTAGAGATGTTGTATCCCACTGTCGATGGGAGCCCTGCAGTCATTTCTGTTACTTGCTCTCAGAAAGAATACAGTGAAAGTAGTGGTAGTTCAGAGGCACAGTGGGGAGAAAAGATTAAAAATGTATATTAAACAGAGGGGGGAAAAAATCAATTATTTCATATAGAGTTTTGCTCATGCTTAGCAAGGAGCACTCCCAACTTCTCCTCTTCCCAGCCAGGAGGATTTCACTGAAGTAGAATAGCGAAACGCTGCTTAGTGTCAGCTGCAACATTCTCATTATCCGTATGGATTTAACAGTTTTTGAATCCATATTTGCCCACTAGAGGGCTGATTGCATCTTCCCCTTTAATATTTGATGTTGTCTGAGGCAGAATGCGAAGCCCTTAATTAAATGGATCATTTGTTTCCTTGAAAATGCCTGATGCCACACAATACGAAACTCTCTGAAATACAGCTTTCTGCTGTATTCCAGGGCTTTTTTTAACTTATAAGGCTCATGAATTTGTTAATGCTACATAATGATTCTTGCCCTCTCAGGGCTGATGCTAATTAGATGATGGGAAAATGAGTCCTTGCAAGATTTTCTTGTTAAATGTTGTTTGAAAAACAGTACTAGAATGTCAGTAGCGGCTGAATTCAGCCAAGAGGAGTTCAGGTTTGGGGAGCTGGGGGAGGGTGTTTTTGCTAACAGGCAGATTTATCTTCCTCTTTTTGTGCAAGTGCAGGAGAGGTTTTGAACTACCTTCTTTTCCTTTTATTCTGAAAATGGAAAAAGACATTCAGTCTATTTCTCTTCATTAATTTTGGGGAGTTTCTGACCTGAAGGCAGATACCTGACAAAGTAAATAAGTAAAGGAAGGGATGCACAAGAAGTAATGGACCATAAAGTAGATGGTTTTATGGCACTACAGGTTTCATGCATGGGACTACTTAGACTTGATGACATAGAAAAGTTCATGAATTTTTCAGACCAGAATAGACTGTTTAAAATATAGTCATGTGTACAGCGCAGAAGAGATAAGCGCCCAGAGTTGTATTTAAACTACAGCAAAACATTCAGAAAGGTATTTCTCTCAGAAGGGTCGTTGGATTTTCAAACTACTGATTGTAGGGGCCAAGCGATTAAGACCATACTATAGCCTCTGAGCATTGTTCCAAAGATGCATTATTCTCATGGTTGGAAAGATCCTGTTTCCTCTTGGATTTTTTAGCTTCTAGTGTCAGTTATTGTTTCTCATTATATCTTTCTCGGCCCATAAAACAAGCCCTTAGTAATTGATATTTTTCTCCCTACATAGATTTATATGGGTATTGGCTGCGCTATCTTTCAAGCTTTTCTCCAAATCTAGATAGGCTGGGCTCAGTGAATCTTCACTGTGAAGTCGATTTTCCACATGCCAGCATTCTTCAAGTTTGCAGCATTTGCCTGAGTTTTTCAATACTTGTCGACTTAGGTGGAAGTCAGAATTAGACACATTGTTGCAGGAATAGTCACACTAGTCCTGTTTACAAGGATCCCTGCTATTCCCCTTTGGTTTAGTATGGTTAGCCATGTTAGCACAGCGTCCCACTGGGAGCTTGTTCTCAATTGAATGTTTCCTCATCAGAGGACTAATACTGTGGAACAGAGTTCAGCTGAGAGTAACTGAAGTAAGAATCTGCTGAGGAGCTTGATAAAAGTCATAGATGGGGTTATGCCATAATTGCTTGCATTAGCAGGGAACTGGACGTGGGCACTCAGATGTGTTTTTCAGTTCAGTATTCACCTCAAAGTTCTATCTAACATTGCTGCTTTCAAGGATACAATCCTCACCCTGTAAGTACGACTTGATAAGTGGAAAATGCATATGCTGTATTCAAGTCTAGCTTTAAACATGTCAGAAAGTCTGGAACAAACTGCACAAGTGTTTAAAGATAGCTCCTTATGATTCTGGTGTTCTTTTTACTCCCTGCATCTCACATAGACCTAAACAGCCAAATTACTTCTTGTTGATTCCAGAAGCGATCGTTGTGTGTGTGAGGTGGGATCTAAATAAGGATGTATTTAGCTTGCATATTCTGTTAGGGTTTGCCATTGAAAGTGGATTAAGAGAAAGATGAAGGTAGGAAACATGAGAACGACTCTTAGAGATGATAATGAATGTAAAAGAACAGTGATGGATGGTAAGAAAGTGTTATGGCAAGTGTGTTGTAGAATGCTTGCTAGGAAGGCATGGCTTCTACCTAAATGGCTTAAAATCAAGCTGTGGCTTGGAAGGGCCTGTGAAAGTTAAAGTGGGTGCTGGATAAATACTGCCTACATTACACATGCTAATCAGACTGCACACTTCCTAAAGCTTCTGGCTCAGTGTAAATAGTCACAATAGCAGATGTAATGAAGTATCTTCCTGGGAGGAGATAGATATGGGGAAGAGCAGGATAATTCTCTGTGGCTTGTAATACCTGCAGGGACTTCTGTCATTGAGCAGTTTTGTAAACACTTGAAAGCCTGAGGAAATTCCCAGACAAAAACTGAAGTCGACCTGCTGTGAAGGTTGAATTCATGTTAGCCAGACTCTCAGTTGTGGCCATGGAAGTTCCAAGTGCAGGTTCAGTTTTGTCTTGTTTAATTGGAAAGTCTGCAAATGGAAAAACGAAGTTCAGAGAAACCTTTAACTCTGCCCATTGGTTGGCACACATATGGGTGGTGGGGAGGAAGGGGATAAGAAAAAGTCCAGTAACTTGGCTACTGCTGCTATCTCTCTGTTATATTATCAACCACAAAAGCTTTTACTATCTTGAATTGTAAAACAGTGCAAGCTTCTCTTAACAGCATGGTGTAATGATGGAGGAACAGTTCTTAACAGCAGCATCCGTAGCAGATAGATGCCAACTGCTTCTTCCTGTTCAAAGAGTCTGTGTGTTACCAAATACATTTCTGATCATTATGGGAACAGATGGATCTAAACTCCTAGACAAAACATTTTGCATCACATCAGTAAGGTTGAAATTATGAAAGCCCATTAGACCAGTGAAATACCACATTTGATATCCAGAGTATCTGTGTAAGACCCACTAGGAAAGCAGCCCTGTTGTTAGTGTCAGCATTTTGTGTTCTAAATAATCACGTCTTCTCCAAAAATGGGAGCAGAGTTAAGTTGATTTGGTCATAACTGCTTTTGCAGACTTTGCAGTACATGGAGTTAATTTTTATGATGAAAATGAACCTTAACCTGGGATTTCCAGGTTTTCCAACCTTTTTTTTTGACTGAAATAAATCATAGATGAACAAAAAGTGATTTTTGTCTGGGAATTATTATTCTGTCCCCTTCAGACTGCTGTTGGAAAATTTCCAAAGTGCTGCCCTGTCTCCCTTGTAGGTCTCATAAATTAACCTCTTTGATTCTTCTAAGACCTTCACTTGTCTGGCTGCAAGGTATTGTTTGGTTTCTTCTGCCAGTTCCTAGCTTAAGTTTGTCCCCTTGGGGCTGGAGTACTTGCAGCCAAGCACAGTGTCCCGGGTGAAACCTCCCCAGAGCCACATATAGCAAGAAAACATCCCTTCACGCAGTGTGGAAGACCCCGTCCAGTTAGGGTTGATAGGTAGTGGGGCTCGCCCCCATGTGACACTGTCTCTTCCCCTCGTCCCGGTCCCAGGTGCCGGATGTGTTCGCTGACCTTCTACTCCAAGTCGGAGATGCAGATCCACTCCAAGTCCCACACGGAGACAAAGCCACACAAGTGTCCTCACTGCTCCAAGAGCTTCGCCAACAGCTCCTACCTGGCCCAGCACATTCGCATCCACTCAGGGGCCAAGCCCTACACGTGCAGCTACTGCCAGAAGGCCTTCCGCCAGCTCTCCCACCTGCAGCAGCACACACGGTAAGGGCCAGAGGAGGCTGGGGGCCCTCCACACTGCATGTTGCCGTCATCCCAGCATGCTGTGAGCACCCTCAGTGGGCGACTGCCTGGGGAGACCAAGCTTGTTTTCCACAGGCTGGTCAGGTCTCGGACACAACAAACGGGCAGTAGTGGTATCCGACATGTGAGACTTGTCACTTGCTGTGAGGGGCTGGGTACGCACAGAGGTTAACACTGCTCACCCTAAGGGGCATCTGCAACAGAGTGATGCTTTCTGATGGAGGGTAGGGCTGGTTGTGTCAAAGTGAGAGTGGGTGTAAGAGGACTGTTCCCTGTCACCCCAGCGTAGTTCTGCCAAACGTCTCAGTCCAGGCTTGCAGCCCCCCTGCTATTACAGCTGTAGGCTTCCCACACACAGCTCTGCCAATGCCCCTCAGTCCAAACTCTATAGTTCCTCTCTCTGGATCCTCCCCCGGTGCAGACAGACCATGGTCTCTTGAATCCAAGAGGAGCACGGTTTGAAACCGAGCGAGCTCATGCAGTGTTTGGAGTTCCTCCATGTAGCAGATAGAGTGGTGCTGTCCCACCCCCTTTATGCCCTCATTCCATCAGCACTAGCCAGATGGCGGTCATGTCCAACTGCTGCTGCTCCTCCTCCTCTTCGGCAGGATCCACTCCAAGCTCCACACAGCGATTGTCAAGCCGCACAAGTGTCCTCACTGCTCCAAGAGCTTCGCCAACACATCCTACCTGGCCCAGCACCTCCGCATCCACTCGGGGGCCAAGCCCTACACCTGCCGCTACTGCCAGAAGGCCTTCCGCCAGCTCTCCCACCTGCAGCAGCACACACGGTAAGGGCCAGAGGAGGCTGGGGGCCTGGCCCTGGCCCCCCCGCGCTGCCGGCATGCACCAGTGGAGCACGCGCGCCAAGCATGCGGGGGGCGGGCGGGGAACGCGGCCGGCTGCACCCTCGCAAGGAGGTGACCCCCCCCAGAGTGGACGGAGTGGAGGCTGCGCAGGAGACACTGACCACGTCAGGGCGGAGGTGGGCACATGCTGGCCCTGGGGATCCTTGGTCTTGCACCGCGGGGGGCACAGAGAGAGAGAGCCATAGAGAAGAGAGGCATTGGCCATAGGGCATCCCAGCCTGGCACCATGGGGGTTGGACTGAGTGTGTGGAAGCTTCTCCTGGCATTGCAGGGGGACAGGGACAGATGAACGCTGTAGATGATCTCAGCTTGATAATGTAAAGGGAAAAGCATTCGAGTGTCCATTCCTGAGAAGGAACAGAGCTGCTTTCTTGGCCTTGCAGAAACAAGAGAACAGACTCTTCTTGGCCATATGGGCCTCCTGAGCTTGGAGCAGGGGGTCTGGACCTCCAGACCCTTTCCTAACCTATTTTCAGGTGGCACAAAATGCCAAGCTGGCCAGGCATTCATAAGCTTTTGCTCCTCAGTCCTAGTCACTGTCTGAAATCTGCTTGACTGCCTGTCTTCTCTAACTTCTAGCTGGACACAGGAGCTGGGCAGAGCTCTCTCTGTCCAGATAGAACAGCATCTGGAGGCAACATGATCCCCTTCCCTGCTTTCCTGAGTGATTCTGGGATTTGATCATAGCAGCAGGCCCTGGCAGTCTGCTCTACGTGCCTGCTCACTGCCTCCCTTTTGTGCTCTTCCTTCTCAACAGTATCCACACAGGGGACCGGCCCTACAAATGCGCTCATCCTGGGTGTGAAAAGGCTTTCACCCAGCTTTCCAACCTGCAGGTAAGGGCTGGGCTTGTCCTGCTCACCAGTGCAGGTCGCAAGGGTAGCTGTCAAGTAGTAGGGGAGGCTACTTGCCTGTGGTAGAGTGGATGGAGAAATGGGGGCAGTCGGGAGGAGTGTAAGAATACAGAAAAGCTGTTGAAGCCCTAAGCAGGGGAGAGATTCCTGGCTTTTGTAGCACTAGTGACCCAAAGAAGTCACATCCTGTAAAATTGTAAACTTGACTTGAAGGCAGTGAGACCTTGGTAAAGTTCCCCCCATCTGTTCTGCAGAGTTTTCTAACTTAGCTGGGGGAAGATTTTTGCTAAATGTCATTCTGAATAAAATCTGGGTATCTGATTGGGTTTTCTGTTTGTTTTACAATGAAATGGAGGACATTCAGGGATTTAGGGAAGCAGAGGTGGTGTGTCTTGTTGCAGTATCCTGAAGGAGGGGAACTGTAGCATGTGCCAAATGGCAAAGAGCTGTAAACTGTGAGCAATTAAAGCAGATCCTGCCCTAAAGGGCAGTGACGGATGCTGGGAGCAAATGTGTAGTGAAGCAGAAGAGAGAAAAGGAACAGGCCGAGAAAGTGGGGGTGGAGGGGGGGGAGGGCTGAGAAGATGGGGGCTGTGGGGAGTTGGGAGACTCTGCTCTTCAAATGCCTAATATGCCTGAGAAAAAAAGGGCATCTATGGGGATGATGTGGTGGGCTGGAGGGAGAAGCTCTGTCCCCTGCGGTAGGAGCCAGGCAGGAGACCTAGGGAGCTTGGGGCCTCGCTGGAAGAGGGTATTGGAGGTAAAACCTTCTTCAGTACTAACGCTTGGTTCCTCCCCTGTGCTTGCTTTCTCTTTCTTCCACCCTGCTGCTGGTCCCCAGTCCCACAGACGGCAGCACAACAAAGACAAACCTTTCAAGTGCCACAACTGCCACCGTGCATACACGGATGCTGCCTCGTTGGAGGTGCACCTGGCTACGCACACGGTGAAACACGCCAAGGTCTACACCTGCTCCATCTGCAGCCGGGCCTACACCTCGGTGAGTGTTTGCTGCTCTGGGGAGTAGCAGGAGTGAACACACTTCCCAGGGAGTAGCTCCTCCAGATCCAGAGGGAGCAGCCGCCTGGGCTGTCATGTGCCTTCCCATTGGGTTTGGCTTTGGTGAACGCCCTCCCCTCCTGTGACCACCATTCTTCCCATTGCAGGAGACGTACCTGATGAAGCACATGCGGAAACACAACATCCCTGACCCACAGCAGCAGGTGGTTCAGGCACAAGCTCAAGCCTCTCAGCAGCAGCAGCACTTCCAGCCACAGGGTGGGGGGGCAGCAGGGGGCCCTTCTGGAGACACTAACCAACCCAACCCTCCCCCCCAGTGCTCCTTTGACCTGACTCCTTACAAGACTTCAGAGCATCACAAGGACATCTGCCTCACTGTCAGCACCAGCGCCATCCAAGTGGAGCACCTCTCCAGCTCCTAGAGAGACCTCAACCCAGGGAGCAGAAAGCCTCTTGTGCATAGCCGGCACCCAGGGGCACCGCTTGTGCAGCGGCCCTCCTCGTGCAACAGTCTCTGGCCTCTCCTCCTGCAACAGCCGTTTCTGGCCGTGTAACCCTGTTCATGGCACCCCCTTGAACAACAGCCTGTCTCAAGGGGGTGCTCCTTCTGTGCAACAGCCTGCCTGGTAGGAGGATGCTTCCTTGTGCAAGAGCCCCTTTCCTGTGCTGGGATCACTTCCTCATGCAAAAGCCCCTCCTTTCAAACCCAAAGAAAGGCCCCTGTTTTGCCTTCTCTCTCACTGTAGGATGTGTATGAAGGGGGGGTGCCTGTTGAGACATGCATGGTGAATGGGATGGAGAGAGGGTCCTTGTATGTACAGGGGCTCGGACACATGTTTTCAGCAGGCCACAGAAGAATGTGGAAGGGTTCATAGCTGGATGGCGTTCTTTGAGGATTTCCTTGAGTGTCTAAGAGAGAAATATCCATTCCTGTCCCTCCTGCTTGTGAAGGGGAGGAGGGGTTGCTCGTCCTGCCCCAAGGACTGGATGGGAGAAACCTTCTCCCCAGAGGAAGGTGAGACCAGTGTGGGGGGAGAGGTGAGGCATGTTCTCTGGGCTGGACCGTGCCTACGCTGCCCGAGGGTTGTGGAGTATTGCACTCTTTCTCCTCCCGTAGTGGAGAGCAATAGAGAGGAGTCTGTCTGCACTGGCTGCTGCCTCTCTCTCCCAGCTGTCTGAGCAGCATGGTGGCCAAGGCCCTGTAGGAATGTGGATTCCTGTTCATTGCTCTTCCTGCCCGTTATGGATGATGTCCTAGCAGCTTGTACTCCTCCTCCTCTCCCTCCTGCCTGCTTCCCCCCCCCCCCCCCCCCAAAGTCTGCAGGCATCAACAACAAACCAAAAAGCAACTGGAGGGAGGGTAAGAGACTGCCAAAATAATCATCACCCGTCTCTCTACTCCCTTTCCTGAAAGGCAGAACGACAGCAGTTCTGACTCTTGTACCCCTGTCCTGGCCCCAGTTCCCAAAGGGAAGGAGGAGGAGGAGGAATAGCCCAGTCTTTTCAAGGAGCCGGCAGGAGGCAGGGAAAGGGGCTAGCTTCTCCTGCTCACCTCCCAGCAGAGCGCTCTCCCAGGCTCCCTCTTGCCAAGACGGGCTGGACTCACATGGCAGTGGTGGCCTCTTCTGGACCCTGGTCATGGGAGAGAATCCCCAAAAGGTGGACAGTGGAGAGAAGGGGATGAAGATCCCCACAGAGAGACCAATCTAATGAGAAGGGGGAGCCAACAAGAATAAACTGAAGGCCCCTTGAATTTATATATATATATATATATATAAATATCTATTCCCCACCCCTGGCCCGCTCTGTCCTTGCTGTAACTGTTTCTATCTCTGTGTTTATAAAACGCATTATCCTGATGAATTTTTATTTTCAATCTTTGTTTGTTTTTCCCTTTCTCTTCATCTTCAATTCTTCTCCCTCCCCCCCCCCCCCTTTTTTTTTTTTGATATATAACTGATCCACATGACTACTAGTCTTGTGTGTCACTTGTTAGTTCCTTTGGATCATGGAGGCTGACTTGGAAGAGAATGAGAAAGCAAGGGAAAAAAAGCATGTGTTGTTGGGATTAAAAATCAAACGCCCACCCAAAGCCTACAGAATCCCAGACTTCTGTATGAACAACCAATAGGGGCTTTTTTTTAACCATCTGTATAGAAATAAATTGGTGTAAAAGGCTCCTGGAAGGTGCTGCTGCGAGCAGCCTGCCCCTGTGACGTGTGTTCCTTCCTCCTGCACCAGACCACTGCACGAGCATCTTGCTGCTGTGTGTCCTGAGCAGGCAGCCTGCCTTTGGGCAGCCTCACTTCACCCAAGGAAAGCGAGGAGCTTTGTGCTCTGCACCTCTGGAGCCTGTGGCAGAAATCTTTTTCTTTGCATTTAGTCACCAGGGTTGGCTACAAATGGTTGTTTTGTTAGATCAATAGGTTTGGCCAGAAGAAGCTGCCTGATTTGGCTTCTGCATTTCACAGGTGACATTTCAACCTGTTTACCCTGTACTGAGCCCCAAGAACTAATGTATATTTGAAGTATGTGTTGACAAATTGCATTAGGTTGATTCTGAGGCACTGGGACACAGAATCCCTTCCATTGGTAGCCTACTGCAGGCTTTGTGTTCTCGCTGTTGAAATATTTAAGCCCAATTTCTCCTTTGGATCTGTTTGGCTTTGGTTTCCAGTAACTAGTTCTGGATACATCCATCCCGTGGATTCAGAGAGCCTTAAAGCACAGTGGGGCTTTTCCCCCTGGTATTTAAACACTATAATGTCACTTCTCAATCCACTTTTTAGGCAAGCTAAATAGATGGAATTCCTGAAGTCTTCCGCTGTAAGGGATTTCCTCCAGCCCATGAATTATTCTTGTCTTTTCTTTCTACATCTTGTCAAATTTTTTCAGTATCTTGTAAAAATGTCCCTTTCAGAATGGGGTGTTCATGCCCCAGTGCCATGGCCAGGGCCCCCCTGCCCCTTTGCCTTAAGTCCGCAGAGGATTACGTTTTGCCCTTTTCTCGCAGCATTATATGGGAGCTCGCATTAGCTGCTTGTGTGGTGTGATCCCTGGATCATCCAAAGTCTCAGCTTTCTGTGATAGCGTTTCCCCCTTTCTACAGGTATGCTCTTGAGTTTTTATTTCTTAGATACTTAACATGAGGCTGTTAACAAAGGCCAGTCTGTGTGAATGGACCTGACTTACTGATGAACCATGTTACTCGCTGCTCTCCCAGTTTTGTCACCCACAAACTGTATCAGTTGTTTCTTACTTTCAGATCCAGGTTGAAAATGCTATATTGCGTCTGACCTACCTTAATTTGAAAAGCATCATTCAGTGCAACTTTTTATTAGCTTCTTTATGAGACTTGCAGGCTAGGCATTTCTTAATCCTCTTAGTATGTGATTATGTACAGTAAATCTTTCTGACTTATGGTGCTAGGTCAATGCCTTACAAAAATTTAAGTATGTTGCACCTATGCAGTCCCCTTTGTGAAACCAAATGTGTAGTGATGTCCCCTAAGGATGAAATTAGGGTTTGGTTTGGTTTTTTTTTCTACAAAATCTGTATTTCATAAAACCTTTGGGTCAAAGGTTTTATTTTTCATTCACTAATTCTTCATCTCAACAGCTTTTCCTTGACAAGGAGTCATTTCATTTGCCTTTTGGGAGCGCTGTCATGAATGTCTGAAGGTGCTTCTCTAATATCCCAAGTTTAATTAAAATCAGACCCAATGGGCTAGAGAGCTCGTTAGTGATCTCTTTTAGGATTCCTGTTTCTTTGCTGACTTAAAAATACACATCCCTAGTAGATGCTGTCTAATCTCCTACTTTGGTGCTAAGGTACTGGATAGAAGTTGCTGTTTTCATGTGACTGCCACATCCTGTTTCTTTCTGAATATGGAACTGGAAGTGTTTGTTGACCAGATTTCCCCTGTTAAGTGTCACTAGCGTTTTTATTTAGCATGGCTCAGTATAAAATACAGTAAGATTTGTTTATTTTTTATTTAAAAAAGAAATGAAAGAACCAAAATCCCTTTGCTATTACCAGTGGTTTTCCTAGCCACAATGCTTTCCTGAACAGTTTTCTTTATTCTAATAATGGCTTATTTCTGTCAGGTGCTGTCTTCGCCTTCTCCTTTTCCATCTGTTACGTTTCAGGCTTGGTTTGGTTTGGGGTTATCTTACATTGTTCCTTCTTCCCCACAAACTTTCTTACTGAACCCAGGATGAGCTTTTACCAAAAGTTTTCCTCTTTGATTGTGGAATTAGGGCTTTTTTGGCCACGTAATACTTTTTTTAGAGAAGAGTTTCAACTTTTTCCTGCCTTACTTCTTCTTCTCATGGGCAACTCGGTTTATAGTTTTGCTCACCTTGGAAATCAGCACAGGTTTATTACTGCTTGTGACTCTCTTTTGCATGTCCATATTCCATATGAAGAGGACAAAATTCCCAATTTCACTCAAGCTATGATGTTTTGTATGTATCACCTTGAAGTCTGAAAAATTGACTTGTTTTGGGTGCAGTGTCTTGTATTAGGAAACCTACATTTTTAAAAGTCAGAAAGGTGTTTTTTCCAACTGCTTGAATTCCCTGGGGAATGGCTCCCAAGTTAAAATTCCTTGCAGTGGCTTTTCATTTTGTAAGTTAAAGGTGCTTGAAATTGCTTTTCCTCGTCCCTGGTTTGATCTGTTGTTTTCTGATGTATGCTATCCTTCTCCTTCTTGGAATCTGCTACCTAGCATAGGTATGTATTTAAGGCTGTACCATTCATGTATTACCAGTTATTTCAAAGTTATTATTGCTTGTGTTTGTGTAGTTTGCTGATGCTCCTACAGCTTTTACTTTTGCCCAGGAAGAAACTAATGATATTTTCCTCAAGGGACATTCCCATTGAGTTTCAGAAATGCCAGTTTATTCCAGGCCTCTTATTTTTTTTTCTCATCAGTGAGGCTTTCTTACTTCTCTGTTTACCCAGAGACCTGCTGCTGGTGTAGAAGCAATTGAAGAAATCTTATTGTCATCCTTGTTACTTACTTCAGTTTGGATTAAGTCTTCCTCTTTGAATTCCCAAAGCCTTTCTAACATATTCAGAATGCTTCAGGTGGTTTAAAAAGTATAGTCTCTCCCTGCAGGATGCAAGATCTAACATCTATAGAAAATTCTTCCCTGTTGAGATGGTGCCTCAGGTTCCACAGTCTGCAGCTTCCCACTTTGTGCACTTAAGCCAACCATGGTTCAATTATTTAACTACCACTCACAAGAGTGGAAGATTCTCTAACAAGATCCTATGGTCCTTCCTCTTCAGCTCCCTGAACTCTTTGAGCCTGAATTTTCTCTGTGATGCCAATTCATTTGTTTCTTTGTGTGTGTCCGCAAGAAGACTTGACAGTGACTCTGGAGTTTGGTATTAGGTTGCATCTTGCATCTTTGCTGGAAGGTGGTAGCACTTTTTCTTCTTGTCCTTTACTGAATCCATTGTCTGTTCGTGGCTGGATTTTGCAAATTATCGTTGCTTTAAAAGGAAACATCATGTAGGCTGGAAATCATTTAGAAAAGTCACCCACAAACAGTAACTGAATCTCAGCCGTGACTAATGATAGTACTGCTGGTCTATAATTCAGTTAAATCTTAAAGAAAGATTTAAGACTTTCATAATTTAAAGCCTTATGGTCAGTCAGCCATGTCCCCTATTAGAGGTTTTTTGTTGGTTATCACTGCCACTGAAACTGTCGTTCTATTTTACTACTTTTTTTTTCTTTTTAATCCATACAGTCTTGTTATGCCTTTGTTCAGTACGTTCAGTTCAGTACATTAAAAAGACTTCTGCTATAAGAAGTTCTTCTTTTGTAATGAATTACAGACCATGATCAGGTCACTGTATTCATCTTTCCAAATGGCTTAATTAAATTGAGCTGGTTTAGGTGTCTCACAATAAGGCTTGACTCCATCATGGAGTTCTTCTGTATTGCCTTTCTTTTTCCTTTGTGAATGACCAGGCTGCGTAATGCTCAGTTACAAGTCTTGCTACATTATGCCTAGACAGTTATCCTGAGCCACCAGGCTTACATTGCCATACAAGGATGTGTAGTTCTTTGAATTAGATCTTTTTCTCTAAATTAAAGCAGCATTATGTTTCTTTTCTTAGCTGAGCGCAACCTGTATCAGTTACACTGTGACTTTGCCAAATCAGTGTTAGGTTAACTGACTTACAGCAACCTGGATGATCCCATTTACTTTTCAAATACTTTTTAAGTAAAAGTATTTGCTTGTCTTCTGGAACACATTAAGAGCTCCAGAGTTGTTTGGAAGAGAAAGCCCCTTGCTTCCATCTGCTTGCCAGATAATTCTTCTAAAGTTACTGATTGTCAGTTTCTAGCTATGCAACTTCTTGGATGTTTTATTTAATGAGTAGAACTCATTAGATTGGCAAGGTAATATTTCGTTACTTCACAGATGTGTCTACATCATCCAACTTTCTTCCCAATATAGAATATAATTATGAGATTCTGCTTGTCTTATATATTTTTATTGATTATTTTATCTTTATATCAGCTAAATGATATATATCATGTTTAGGATTTTCTTCTAATACTTTGCAGGTAATGCACCTGAAAGCTGCCCAAGTTTACTAGTGCAATTTCAGAACATAGAATGAAATTGCTCTGTACACTTCCATAACTAGCTACCTGTTCAATCGTCATTTCAGGTACAACAGATTACATTTGTGTGCATGGTTTCTTGTTTCTGTGTAGTAGTACACCAAAGTACTAGAGAGATGTAGTAACTTGGTCCAACAAACATTTCATGTAGTGTCTATGTAATGGAAAAAAAAAAACAAACTGCAAGAAAAGAAATCATGACACCAAAGAAGTAGAGTGTATGCCTAGTTTTGCTCCTGAATTAGGGTATGGTTTTGGAATGTGGACACAGCTATAATCTGGGCCCCTTGGCATCCTCTTTCATTTGTGAAGCTGATTTACCACCTTGGGGGCAAGTGCTGCAGATCAGTTGTTTGATGTTCATGAGACTTAAGTGTGGGTACATCTGGTCTTTCCTGAAGAGAAGGAAATGCAGAGCAGGGACCTCTGAACTAAGAATGTTGAAGAGTGAGAAAAGCTGAATGTGTACCACTGCAGCAGAAAGGGAACCAAACAAGACTGAAGTTGTAGGCCTCCTGCTGCATAAGGATCGCTCTCAAGTACTGGCCTTCACCTTGTGGTCCTTGGACAACATTTAAGAGGTCTGTAAGGTAACAAAAGCTGAAGGCTTAGATTTGGTATGCAGATGTTTACATTTCCAAGGGAAAATACACAGGCATCTGTAGATCAATAAAGGTTGAGAACCACTACTCTAGACTACTTCAGTAGGCTGTTAGCTTCCCTTTGCCCTGTGGGCAGTAGGCCCTCTTGTCAGCCAGGTCCTTCATCTAACTAGGAGGTATTGGCCCATTTAACATTAGGATGTAATTGAAGTAGCAAACTCTGGGGTAAAGGGGGTGGTGTGTGATAACCATATGTGGCTTTGTTACTAAGTTGTAACAACAGTTACCTAAGTGTTGGTATAGGAGGCTGGTGAGGGGAGACATAAATAGGCATGTACCTCTAGAGTGTATTCCAGTTGGGGAAGCATCTCCTTGCATAATCATCTGTGCCCATTCTAGGACTTGCACTTGGAGAGGTCTTTAACAGCTATTACACCCCTCACCAAGTAACTACCATAGGAACTAAGACACTCCATCTGTGAGGTTGCTTGTGGAACTGAGCAATGCATTTCTCCAGGAACCTCTGCCTTGGTTTTCTAAAGAAAGCAAAAATAGCAAACTTTTCTAAATTCTGAGCTCAGGAACTAGTTTTTGCTGGATTGGAAGAGTTTTTACTGCCATGAGACCACACAGGTAACAAAACTGCTTCTCCCCTTTGTTTTCCTACTACACAGTGGTAGTTAAGGAAGTTAGACACGTTTGTACACCGCTAAGGTTTACCATTTAGATTTTAGGCAAGAGTCTTTTCTTTGCCCTGACTTTATCAGCACTGGCAACAAGTCCAAAGGGAGCTTGTCTTTGTATTTCAGGGCTCTAGCATTTTGACACCTCCTAGCTTTGACTTGGAGAATAAAGCGGGATTCCCAGGTGGCCTCTTAACCAAACTGGTGATGTGTAAGAATGCCTGCTTCTTAACAGAGGCTCCACTCAGCCTGGTAAGCTTCAAGCAGGAAGCGTTTGGGGAATTATGATTTACTACTGTGACAGGGTACAGGGAACGATTTCTTTTAATGTAACATCCAGATCCTTCTCCTTAATTAAGAGTGTAAGGCAATTTATACAAGTAAAAACCAAGTGTGGTTTAACAATAACGTTCTGGTAACTGAAGCCAGCTGCTCCATACAGGAATCGAGATGAGTAAGAAATGTGTTTTGAGTCATTAAAAATATGTCATGTATAAATGGCTATAGGAATAGGACTGGAAAACAGAATCTTCAGAACATAGGGGATCCCTAAATTAACCCAATAGTTTAACAGGTACATGGTTGGTAGTTCTAAGAGCTGTGATTAATTTTTATAAGAGCACCTCAGTCTTGCATTGCAGGCTGCTGGAGGACTTAATCACAGTATATCCGTATAAGTAAGTGTTTTGGAAAACCTTTGGGAGGAAAGAAACAAGGCTGGTCACTTCTCCTCATGGCTGGAATCTAGCAGCACCCAGTCCTGAGCCGTGACTGCTGTTACACAGTCTGTTAGGGAAAACTGAAAGATGTAGGGGAGCGGGCAGGAGGAAAGTGGATGAAATGTAACATTTGCCAAAAACGCCCAGTGCCTCCTAAACTATATGGGAGGCTGAATTAATACTGACCTATTGAAACAACCATCCTGGATATTCCAGACCTGAAGGATCAAAAGAAGTCAGGTAATTTTGTCTGTGTTCCTTCATAAGGTGACCTCACCCTCCTTCCTGAAGAGCCCTGGCAGACACCATACCCTGCATGTGCACTCAGTAGTAAAAGGCAGGCTGGGGAATGACTCCTGAACAGGAGGATCTCTGACCTAGAAGTGGCTCATGATGGATGGTCATGAAAGTGGGTCTGGCACGGAGGAGCGAAGAGCACGGAGCCACGCGTTTAACTTCACTGTTTCGTCAGTTTGTCAGTTGTTAAGTTTGTGCCATAATCATTTTACAGCAAAGGCAGTCTCTGTAGCACAGCAGAAGGTTCTCGTGGCGAGTTACACGGTGAATGGAGACTAGAGTGCCGTAACAAACTAACAGCACTTCCTCCCCAGATTATCCGCCGGGAGTGCCCAGGAGACACCTCCGTAGCCTCCAAAAGACGAAGCCCGTTTCTTTTACTGCGGAGATGAAGGCAGCAGGTATTTACCTGCCCGCACCCCCGGGCCTGCTCCCCTGCCTCCCTGCAGCCGGGCCGCCCCTCCTAATCCTCCTGTCTGCAACCAGCAGCGGGGCGGCCCGGGTTGCTCCCGCAGCTCACCCCGCCTCCGTCACCGCCGGTGCTGCTGAAGCGGCGGGGGGCGGGCAGGACACACCGGCCGGGGGAAGGGGCAGCGCCGCAGGACCCGAAATGGCGGCGTGAGCGCACGGAAGCGCCCGGGCAGGCGGGCGGAAGCGGCGGCCGCAGCCGGGCACCGCTGTTTCCGGAGGGGGGGGGGGGGGGGGGGGGGGGAGCGCCGGCGTCCGGCTCCCGCCGGAAGCGCCCGTGTGTGCGGGCCCAAGATGGCGGCGGGGATGTACCTGGAGCACTACCTGGATAGTAAGAGCCGCCGGGGGCGGGGCCGGGGGCCGCGGCTGGGGCCGCCCTGGCACGAACGGACCGCGGCTCGGGGCGGGGCCCTGCGGGGTCCGATCTCTGCCCGGGGGCTGACCGCGCCCTCCCCGGAGCGCCCGCGGCCTGCTCCGAGCCTCTCTGGCGGCAGGTAGCCTGGCGCGGCCGGCCCGTCATGGGGCCTTGCGGAGAGGCCCCGCCCGCCGCGTAGAGGAGACTCGGGGCTGTTTCGAAACGGCGGCGGCGGCGGCGGCACGGACTGCCCCTCCGCCGTGGGGACGGGCTCGGCTGCGGCTCCGATGGTAGCCCAGCCCCGCTGACACCGGCGCCGAGCGTTTGGTTGTCCTCGGAGCAAGGAGCCCAGTGCTGCCTCAGCCGCCTCCTCTCGGGAGCCGCAGCCCGGCTGTCAGTGGCTTTCCCGAAATAAAGTGCCCGGCTGGTGAAATCCCGGCAAAGACAGCTTTCGTGTCTGTCGGGAGGTGGTTTAGCTCGCTTCCTGGGCTGTGGTTTTACACGTGCAGTCCTGTTTTGCTGGTCGAAGGAGAGCTCTCTAAACACTAAGGGAGTTTGTAGCGTTATCGGAGCCCTTCTTTGACGTCTTCCTGACATAAGGTGTTTAAACTTTGTCAGACTTTGGGGATAAGACTTTCGATGCCTGTTCTACCCCTGTGTTCTAAAAACAGCCGAGTAGGCTAATCACAGCAATTGTTTTTGAAGGAATGAACTAACGGTTTAAGATGTAGTAACCTGTGCTTTGAGGAATGGTGTTTTCACATTTTCCTTCTGATCTGCCCTCGGCACTAGAGATGGGGTATCATGTTGATGGAGTGCAGTGGTTAAAGTGTGGTAGTTCTGGTAACATGTTTTAATTCACCATACCTGGCGAACTTAAAGCTCTTGCTGTCTATTTGTATATGCTTACAAGCACTGGAGCTTGGTCATTCAGTTATTTTGCTGCACTGGGTTTCCTCCAGCATAGAGGTGACACAGCGTTGATGTGGAGGCAAGGGGGTTCAACCTTTGTGTCTTCAGTGCTCCTTTTGTCATTAGGAAAGGAAACCTCGTGAAGATTAAGTTAGAGAAGTTCAAGAATAATAATAGGTTTCAGTGAAAGCTGAAAGAAGCTGGAGGTGAACAGGCAAGGATCTAGGAGCTGCTAGGAAGGAGGCTGCAAAAGCTAGGAAGAAGAGGTGGATGGGAAGGCAGATTGTTAAGAGAGGAGCAAGGATGCTGTTCAAAAGCATACATTCATCTGTTGTTCTCATTCTGTTGTGGAAGAATGCAGTTGACTGAGGCTCCTCAGTAAAGATGGCCAAGAGCTGGGAGGACAGGGACTAGGCAAGAGGAGAAAGATACAGATGGATGAGAAGTAAGTGTGCAGGGAGGATGCAGGGATTTGCTATTGAGTGAGCACAAGTGTATTTGGAGTAAGAGCTGCGGTGTGAAGATAGAGGATTGAAAGACAGGGATTTGCAGATGGTAGGCAGAAATGAGAAATATACAGCACTGAGTTTGGAGGGGTACAGTAGGTACCAAGTCAGAGAGAAAGGAAGTTGTAGAGGAGCTTGCTGGCTAGTGCTCCCACCAAAGTCAGACATTTCTGGATTTTGTTGTCACTCTCAGCTACAAGTAGTGACCCCTGTGGAAACTGCTCTGTTCCCCTCTAGTAGAAGCATCCAGAGAAAATGTCAAATTTTCTCTCTCAGCTGAAACATGTGGTCCTGCAATTGAGCTAGAGATTCTTGCCCTGTTGAAGGGTGGATATTAATAAGGGGGTATGGACTGTCATTTTTAAGGTATCTTTCTTTTTCTTTTTTTTTTTTAAGTCATGTGCACAATCTAAAAGTACTTCTTTGAGAAAAAGGTTTCTTTCAGAAAAACACATCATATGAATTGTAATACTTAGAATCAAAGAACATCTCAGTATGCAGTAAGTTAGTTTGCTGATAGGCTTTCCTGGCATGGTTTTGTGATTTTTGGCTGTAGTTAATTTTCACAGTTCCAGTAATTAGTCATTGCACCTACAGAGTGTTTTACCTGCCATGTTGAAGTGTTCCGTTATTAAAAGTTTCTTCTCTGTGTAGATTGCAGTTGATGAAATCTGAACCTTCTTTCTGGTAACTTGGGGGGGGGGGTGGGTGGGAAGAAAAGAGCTACTTGTAATAACATCTTTTTCAGGTTTCTAATAACCCGTGTTTTTCTTCTCCAAGCCTGCTCTAATCTTCTGACATCCAACTTGAAGTTCTGACTCTCTGAAAATGCATACAGCCCTTTAGTAACCAGTAGTAACCAGTCTTCTTCATGATACTAACTAAAGTCAGGTTATCATTCTTCTGTTGGGTATACCCTTATCTCTGTTGCGTATTGCATTTCAGCTGGAAGCTCAGATTCAGGTAACTATCTACCATGATACTGATATGATACAGTCTTTCTGTTTCTTAGAAATATGGTCCAGCATCCTTTATCCATCACTTGTATTCCTTGCTCCTAAATGTATTACCCTGTAAGACTTGATGGAAAGTATTTGCTTGCAGTCAGGCTGTCTCTTGCTGTCGCAGCGGTGTCTTCCTTCCATTCTCGTTCTTGCAGTCTGCAACTCGCTTCCAAGTGACTAACTCTTCTTTTGTTGGATCAAGAACTGCTTCTGTGTGATTTGCATGAGTGGTGCAGCCACTGCTGATAGTTCTCTATAATGCATTCCAAAGCCTTATGTAGCAGTCTGAAGTCTTTTTAATGTATCTTTTGTTTGTTTTCTTATTCTAGCTTGTTATGCATGATACTTCCTGATACTACATAGAGTATTTGATGCAAGCTGTAGTCTTATGACTTAAAAAAGTTATTTTCATTAATGAAATGTATACTCTTACTACAAAAGGTCCAGTCAGGCAAGTTTACCACTTAGTGTGTATTGTTGCCCTTGTTTGGTTCTTTGAGGTGATCTCAGATCAGCTCTTCCGTTTCTTTTCATGCCTGTCTGACAGCATTCAGCCTCCCCCTCACTCATTCCTTCCCTTTGTTTTTTAAACATTATTTCAGTCTTTAAAAACATTCAGTTCAGTTTTAAAGCAGTTCACTGATGTTCAAAAAATTCCTGAAAATTGAAATAAACAAATAGACTAGAACCCTTGGTCAGCTCTTCTAAAAATGTCTAATATTTACATGTCCTTGGAATGGAATTCTTTTAGTATCATAGTGCTAATGCAGACACAGTTTTCAGTTGATTTTCTTTTTCCTCCCACAGAGATTCTCTTTCATATGGTTTACTGGCTGGATCTGCTCAGGGAATGAATGAGGAGTGTGTGATGAAAGAGGGCAGTTGTTTTGTAGGACCTCTTCATATCCTTGAAGAAAGGAAGGTGTATAATGAATTAAGTGGAGATTGTAGGAAGAAAAAAAGGTGGTCTTATGCTTGAGGCAGTTGAATACCCCTCTGACAAAGTGAGTTTGGGTTTGTTTATTTTGGGGGGGGGTCACGCTTTTTACAGGTTCTCCTGTAATGCTATGCTTCCCTCAAATTCTGAGTGCAAATCTGTAGTCAGAGGAGCTGATGTGCCGAATGTTCATAGCTGCAACTGAAGTCTGCTCTGAGCAGATAATTCTGAAAAGTCAGGCTATGGAGCATTTTTAGACATTTCAAGAGGTATGTTTGTAATTAGCTGGTCTTCTTGGCTCTAATCTCTTTGCCTCAGTAAATCTCTTGACCTTCATTTTATTGGGAAGGGAAGCAGGCTGCTCCACAGCAGCTTGTGAAAAAGCAGTCTAATGTCACAATAATGAGCACCTTGAAAAGCTGATTACTAGGTCAATTTTCAGCTTGGCTTTTGGGCTGTGTATGTGTGACACTGTATTGAGCAGAGAGAATAAAATAAAACTTTGAATCACTGCTCAGTCACTAGGGAATGAGAAACGCCTTGTATGAAAATCTCATGTGGTTACGTACTTAAAAACTAAATGTCACAATGCACAAGCAGCCTGACAAAGCTCGGTATGCAGCCTCACTTCATAAATTCTGAGCTCTCTCCTTTGGGCATCTAAAGTTCTTTTCCAGGAGATTTTTGTGGAATAGCCAAGTTATCAACAGTTCTCTTAGTAAAAGGTGTCTGGCATCTTCCTGGTTCTGGTACGTCTGTAGCTTTCATGTCCTTGCTGTAATTTGAAACCGGGTTTAGACCTAGGATTAAACATGCCCTTGCCTTTGCTCTAAGCTTTCAGTTGCAAAGCGTATCTGTCCTAAATGTGTTATGCTCCTAGCAGATGTTTTTGCAGCAGAAAAATATACACATTCCTTCTGTGCTGAACATCCTGATAGATGAACTCCACATCTTGTCCACTCTGATCACCTTCCTTCCTATCCTAGTGAAGCTCCCCCTTCAGTGACTATACTGAGCCAAAGGATTTGGGAAGGGGAAGAAGAGGAATGTTTCTTTCCCCCTTCTTCCCGAGTGTTTTTCTTTGAGCCAGACTTTTTCCTCAGTTTTCTTCAGTGGCTGAAGTTAAGCATGAAAAGATTTCCATCCCTTCAAATATTGTTCTCCTCCTGGTCTCTAAACCATTTTATGCCTGCTTCTGAGGGGAGAGAGCAAGATACTG